ATCTGCTTACTTTTGACTAAATGTTTTTTTTCAGGTGCAGAGCCAGAATTTTTTTCTCGGAAAGCAAAGCCACTGAAACTGCATATATTACAAAAGCATACTAATCGCTGCATGTCTGACAATTGTATAAAGTTTTGCTGTCAACCAAAGCATAAATATGTGTTTCTCTGTACATAAAAGTTCAATTTCACACGTTAATATTAATGTATGATAATAAAAACTTGATAATATTTTTCTGGATTCTTGCACTTTATTTGTATCATTGTCATATGAGAAGTACTCTTGTCCTTATTTAGAGATATTGAAACTAATTCAGGGCCACAAACTACATGTAGATCTGTACATGAAGTACATGGGAAGTAAAGTTGTTGACACAGGTAATGTACACCAAGGATTGTCATTCATGACCTGTTTGATTGGATAAAGTTTTACGACTTGGAGGCCATTTTTTCCCTCAAAAATCTAAAAAAAACAAGCTTTTTCTAGCTGTTAACAGCTTTTTCTCAGATGCGTGTCATCCAGTTTTGTTCAAAGTTGGTACAGGGACAGGTAATAATTGTTTTACTTGTAATACAAGTGCACATCGCATTATATGTTTAACAAGTTATAAATTGCCTCAGAAAAGCCAAATGAATATATTTTTACCCCACCCCCTAAAATTGTAACATCAATTCTGAACATTTAATAACAGAATTTTAATACAGCTCATAATGAATTAATTCACTCTGACACAAACTAAATTCAATATAAGTTTTTAAATTTTTTTCTGAGCGGGGGCTATGACATGACATGTCATGTCTTGTTATACTAAAAATCATCAAAATCAAGCATTTCGTGGCTGTTTACAGATGGATTTTGTTCAAACTTGGTATATACGTTGGCCATTATAGGACTTGATGCACATCTTTTTGTTTTTCAGATAAGATTCAAAATGGCGACTGGCGGCCATTTTGTTTTAATGAATGTGGTACCAGTGCCATATCTGTGACTGATTATGTTCAAATTTTAAATATTCATTATTCATCATGTCATCGTATTAAAAATGGCCGAATGGTGGCCATTTTTGTGCTAAAACATCATCAAATATCAAGCATTTCTGGCATTTCTGGATGGGTTTTGTTCAAACTTGGTACATACATGAGACATTACGGGTTCTGATGCAGATTATTTTACTTTTTAGATCGGATTCAGAATGGCTGACTAGTGGCCATTTTGTTTTTAATGAATGGGCTTCTAGAGCCACATCTCTGACATGCTTTGACTGACTATGTTCAAATTTTATATATTCATTATACATGTATTCAAAAGGCTGATTTTGTTTAAATTAATGCTGTTCCAGAGCAATATCTTTCAATACTCGTTTGACGATCAGATACAAATGTCAATCATTTAAATGTTAAACAATCATCATAATCATATTCCTGACATGTTTATATTCCAGCTATATTACTATAAACAAAACTATATATCTTAAATTTGATAACTAACGGAGACTGTACCATGCATGGCTTGTTTTATCATTAGCTTTTAGGAAGCATGATTAAAAAATGTTCAATTGAAAAGATTGTATAATTATAATAAATTATATTATAATTATAATTAATACATGTAGTTGTCAAATTTATTGTGGTATATGCAAATTATATATAGTATATAGTTTAGTATATGCAAGACTACTAATTTGAATTTGGTCTGTTTGCCTGTGCATCCAGAGTCATTTCTTGGACATGCATTGACCAATCACATTCAAACACATTGAGGGAATGCAGTTTTGAGCCATGTCTCTGAGTGTTCATATTCAAACTTTAGATATTTTTTAAACTTATGGGGAACTGATGGGGTGACTATGTAGTGTAAAAAATGCAAGACGTGATAAAATTTAAATCTAATTGTTGAACTATTGTGGTCTGTTTTAGTCGTCAAATCATTAGTATATTTGCTCAACATATTCTTGCCTGCAGCAAGTGCAGTAATAACAAGATGTGTATTTGATTGCTATCAGAAGTCATAGAAGTTTAGTTCATCTGTGTGGCTTTTTATATTTATGGGTGTCTGTGTATATGTGTGTCTGTTTCACCAATATCTGAAGAATCAATCAATAGATTTCACTGATGCTTTGTGATAATGTGCAGACCTGATAAGTTTTCAGTGGAAATCTCTGCATATTACTATTATAAAAACTATGGAAATAACACTTTACCGATATTTTTCTACTCTAAAATGAAATGCCATTCATTTTTTGGCAAAAACCAATGAGCAACAGGCCAATTATTTTTATTATTACTGAGTGAAATATGTTTCAAGTTTGCAGGATATCAATACTCAAACAGAACATGTTCAATGATACATACAATGATTTATTACAGGCATGAATATGTAAATCGATATGTAGATTATGTTCTCAATAAATCTGCACATGCTCAGTTTGAAGCGTTCAATGATGGATTTCATAAAGTCTGTGGTGGGCGTGTTCTAGAGTTATTCCGTCCCCAGGAACTAATGGAAATGGTCATTGGTAATCAAAACTATCAATGGGATGAGTTTGAAAAGGTATTACTATTATTTTGTGATTGGGAGTTTGAACTTAAAAATTGCTTTACAATCTTGTGGTGTTAAAAGATTTAGGAAACCTACTTTTCTGATACCATACTCTTCAGACTTAGCACCCAAGGTACTCAGCTCATAAATCTAATTTAGGGGCTTGAGCATTCATTCAATCATCCAACCATCGTCATTGATTTCCACTTTAACAATGACAAAACAGAAATGATCACAAAAATTATATATATTTGTTTACAGTATTATTTACATACCATCAGAATTTATGATGTAAAATTATTAGGGTATGTGGGATAACAAGAGATTCATCATTATCTTCGTTGCACACTCTTGATGCAAAGCTAATTCTGCCATGATGTTTTCTTGCAAGATTTGGTCTGCAACATCATCCTTTGATCTAATATGACAAGTCAGTTATTTGAATTGATTTTCAGTAAAAAACGGCATAAATTTGTTTTTTGAGAATAGTAATTATCAAATGTTTAAATGTAAAACTGAATATGGAATGAAGTATTTACCGCCTTTTGTGGTTGTTAATAAGTAATTGTTGAAGCAAAGTTAACAAAGGTCTATTCAAATTGAACACTATTGAACGATCTGACAGTTCTGGTGGACTGATTTGCATATATTACAGAATGTACTCAGTTCTTCTCCAAATTTAAACTCAATGCTTGATAATTGATCTTCCAGTAAAGATAATAAAGATGTGTAAATTGTGATTTGCCAATCCTAACCCTACCTACTCCCTGATTATGATGTGCACTACTGTTAGCTATATCCAGTTACAGTAATTGTCCTCCAATCAATACAACATTCCACTTAAGAAATAAATTTTACTCTGATTTGATCAAAATAGTCTTGAATATCAATAAAGGCCAAACACTAACGAATTGCCTTCTCTCAGGGGGGGGGGGTGAATTTCAAGTTTAATTTGCTTTTTGGTGACATTCCATGGAATATGAATTATGAGTTGGGGAACATTGTTTTTAAAGAGGTACGAACATTTCTTAAACATCTTTGTAAACACAGAAATGAAAGTAGTATGAATTCACCATGAGATCTATTGTCAATTTTATTTTTATTCAGTTTCATATATGTATTATTTTTTCTTGTCTTTTTTCTTTTCTTCTTTTATTTTGTTGCCGTTCCGAAGGCTTAATAAATATTGTTATTATTATTATTACAGAGACCTGTACCCAATCCCCATGAAACAATACCAGGAGATCTGCTGTTTCTGATGGTCCTTTGCCCTCTGTCATCCACACACTTGTTTATATTATATCCCATTATTGTTCTAACTGACTACATACAAACAATTATTATTATGATATTTTTTATCTACAGAATACAGAGTACAAAGGTATATATTACAGACAACATCAAAACTATCATTTACTTCTGGGAAGTCTTTCATAATATGATAATAGATCTT